CTCCGAATCACAAGTATGTTGCACATTGTGCCAACTGAAATTTTCAATTTCCTTTCTTTCTTCATTTCAATATATTTCATAAATAATTTTCACAACATATAATAAACCCTCATACCGGTAGGGCATATAATTCATAAAAATTGGAATCAATTATTCCGAAATACATTAAACCCACTATAATGAATAATAAAAATTACTTTTGGGCTTATAGCCCTCAATGGTGTACCAAAAATAAAATGACAGACACGGGTTCACATCTTTAAATCTCCTAATAGGAATAAACATATAAGTGGGTCACAAATTTACAAAGCTCACCCATAAGTGGAGCATAATAGGAGGACTCACCTCAATATTCAGAATCGAATCAAATTAAGGAAAATATCCTTTTATAATAAAATCAGGATCGTACCTGTAACAACACCATCTGGTGTTTTGTCCTCAGCCAAATCATAGTGATTAAATCAACGGGCCGGGTTAATAGTAGAACCGATATAGAATGATCGTCGACGATATTGTTAATATAATGTAGCGCTCAATATTATTAATATTGACGAGGATATTGAGCTCAAATCTATCATGAAATTTGGACAGATAAATGATTGGCCAAATGAAAAATACGCAAAAAAAATTGATTTCACCTGAAAAATTTGAAGTTGGGCGGATAGTCCCAACACCTGAAAGTATAAAGCCAACGGAGGTATAAATATATTCTTGTGCGAAAAAAATAAGTCGATAGACATAAAGACGACTTGTGTCACAAGAAGATATGTAAATATCCTAGTATTGATTATATAGAGACATGTTCTCCTGTGGTGGATGTCGCCATTTCAGGTTTTAATCTGGTAATACAAAAAAAACGTGATATGCGTATAATGAAAATCATTAAAGGATTTAAATTGTTCTGAAGCATATTAAGGTTTCCAATAAATTTATTAAATAAAGCTTCAAAAATCCTTATACAGATTGAAACAATCATGGCGCATGTGGTATAATCGCGTGAGTGAGTACCTGTTGAAAGAAGGGTACAAAAATGATTTTTGACCTTGTGTCTTTATAAAAAAAATTTGGATCTAAATTTGTTATAATCACCGTGTATGTTGATGATTTAAATATCATTTGAACTCCTAGGGAGCTTCCTAAAGCAATAGAGCTTCCTAAAGAAGTAGACTATTTAAAGAAAGAATTTGGAATGAAAGATCTTGGAAAGACAAAATTTTGTCTTGATCTACAAATTGAGTATATGAAAAATGGAAATTTTGTCCATCAATCAGCATACACTAAAATGATTTTAAAGCGATTCTATATAGATAAAGCACATCCATTCCGACCTCATGAAAATAATAAAGAGCTTCTTGGTCCCAAAGTACCATATCTTAGTGCAATTGGTGCACTAATGTATCTTTATAACATTACAAGTTCTGACATAACTTTTTCAGTTAATGTCTTAACAAGATATAGCTCTGCTCCTACAAGGAGACATTGGAATGGAATCAAACACATATTGCGGTATCTAAAAGGGACTACCAATATATGAAATTATTTTTTGACAATGATTGCAGTCCCGATCTTGTTGGTTATGCCGATGCTGGGTATTTATATGACCCACACAAGGCTCGATCTCAAACAGGCTATGTGTTTATATATGGAGGCACTGTCATATCTTGACGATCGACTAATCAATCAATCGTGGCTACTTCATCTAATCATGTTGAGATAATTGCTATTCATGAAGCAAGTCGAGAATGTGTATGGTTGAGGTCTATAATACACCTTATTCGAGACAAATATGGTTTGAAGTGTGACAAACTACCCACAATTTTGTATGAAGATAATGCAGCATGCATAGCCCAATTGAAGGGAGGATTCATAAAGGGGATAAGACAAAATAAATTTCACCAAAGTTATTTTTCACACATGATCTTCAAAAGAATAGTGATATCAATGTGCAACAGATCCGTTCAAGTGATAATATGGCTGATCTGTTCACCAAATCTCTACCGACGTCAACCTTCAAGAAACTAGTGTACAAGATTGGGATGCGAAGACTCAAGGATGTGAATTGATGCTCTCATCAGGGGGAGTTAATACGCGTTGTACTCATTTTTCCTTACAAGGTTTTGTCCCACTGGGTTTTCCTTGCAAGGTTTTTAACGAGGTAACCAAAAGGCGTATTTCTAAACATGTGTACTCTTTTTCCTTCACTAGAATTTTTTTCCCATAGGGTTTTTTCCTAATAAGGTTTTAACGAGGCACATTATCTATGGACATCCAAGGGGAAGTGTTATAAGAAAAATCAAATTATGGTGGATGTCTACTCTTCCTCCATGATCTTCTCAAATGCTTAATGACATATTCAATGACGTATTTCTATGCTTAATGATATATGTTTCTTCACTTTTCATGCCTATATAAAGGCCTTGTAATAGATAAGAAAATACACACAATTGAAGAAGAAAATCTTTTCCTTCTCTCTATCTCTATTTCTTATTCATGTTTTACTAAATTGCTTTTATTTCATAACAACATTTCTTATCCATGTTTTACTAAATTACTTTTATTTTATAACAGCAAAGATTTATAGTGAGATTTTTCTCGAAATAACCCTTTAAAGCGAGATCAATAAATAGAGTTATGATGAGTGGATTCAAATGATCTACATATACACACATAAATAGTCCAAACGGAAAATAATATGTGCAGGTAATTGCAATATTGTTAGCTAGTTTTGCAGATCCACCCTTGGAAAGTTGGCAATAGCCATAACTAATACTCATCTTTTTCTTCTTTTAAGGTAACTAACAGCCAACAGGGGCACCGGGACATAATTTTAATTTCAAATATCCAGTCACTGAGAATGAAAAAATGAAGCTGGCGACATGTCCAAAATCTTAGAAGTAGATGCGTACCCAGGATTTGAATGTGCGGGCACATGAGCGAACTGCTCAATCAATATCCTCATTATATTTTAGATTTTAAGTGTCTAAAGCAAAATATATGATTATTTCCAACATATATAAATTTATATATTAAAAAAAAAATCGAAGTTAATGGGTCGTGACCCTTTTCTACATGTATAGGCCCGCCTCTCCTTATAAGAGGCCCTTCCAAATTGTCGCAAGTTAATTAACGTGATCCTTGTCCCAAATTTTCACCCTTTATTTGATATTGTTTAGCCACTCTTTAGTTATCCGATTTCCTTATCACTAAACTAAGCAGTTAAAATTAATTTTGTGGAAACTTGTGAGAAAACTTTGGGAGGCCATGTTGAAAAAATAACGATAATAACTACCATCCCTAAGCTCATAGCATGAAAATATATCATAAGATAAAAGGGGGACAGAAAGGGTTCCAAGAAATTAAGAAAATTAATGAAGTGCTCCAAAAAAAAAAAACTTAGGAAGTAGCCACCCACAAAGGCTTCCTCCAATCACAAAAGTTCTTATTGCCCTTCCTTCCTTCTTTGCACCTACGTATCCTTTGACAATTCCCTATTCCAATTTCGACCTCAACATCATAACTGTTTCCATTCATGTCCATGTTCATGCCACTTTCTTCCTCTTCTTCATCTTTTCCTTCCTCCATATCTTCTTCTTCTTCATAATCTTCATCTTCTTCATTGCTAATGTCACTTTCAAATATGCCATTTTCAGCTTTTAATTCTTCGTTCTCGTCATCGGTCGTTTCCAATAAGTCAAGTTTAGATGCAGAGCTTCTATATTCTTTCAAGAAACATAGCTGAAGGCGGCCATTGCTTCTCTCAGCTTGAAGATAAGTATGCACTTTTGGAACTTCAACGGCTTTGATGATTAATCTACCGCCTTCTCTGTGTGTGCTAACTTGTAGGGAATTGGACCCTCTTAATGTTGTCAAAGGAGGTGGAAGTTTTCGGCAGCTTTCAGTGTTAGTGATCACCTTGTAATTTGTTGTTGAAGATGGTGTATATTCAACTCGAATATCGGTTTTTGTTGCTGATGATTGTGCTTGTACTGTGTTTGACTCGTCCGAGGAAAATGAGAAAATGCTGCTTTCAATGATATGATCAGTTCCCGTTTCACATCCCAAATTTTCAGTGCATAATGCAAGGCTCTTTTCACTAAGTCTAGACGAAGAGGGTTGTTTGGATAAAGGGTGAACATAAGAGTTTTCTTTTTCCTTTGAGTCTAATTTGGGATTCAAAGAATTAACGGTGGGGAGATTTTGAAGGGAACTCCAGCCTGCTAAGTCTGCATTTTTGTTAGAGGAGCACTTCTTTGTATCTTGATATTTTTCATAAAGATTTTCCATATTGCTTTCTATGCAAGGTGATCGACCAAATTCTGTTGGAGTTGGGGTTGGCACTTTGAGCTTAAGGGTAGTTGTTTCAATGATATGAGACTCAGAACTTGACTGAAAACCTTGATATACTATGGTTGACATGTCGAATTATTGGATAAGAGTATCTAAAGAAGAAAAAATATTGAAGTTTTGTGGAAAAATGAGGAAAAATCTTGAATATGAATTTGCTAAGGAGTCTTAATTCTTGTTATTTGTATTTGTGAGGGAAAGGAAAGAATGAGAAGATAGAAGAATGAACGAGGTATAAGCGAGGCGTTCGGTCTGAATTTGTAGTGCTAAAAAGTGCGTAGGGCTATGTGCTGTGAGGGTGGGGGGAGCGGGGAGGAAGGGTTGGGGGATTTTTGGACCACTTGAATTGTACAACTATTTATGCCATGCCCATGGAAAAGAAAATTCAATTATTGAATGTATGAGAATATTCCAGTGTACTATTCATTCAATTTTATACTTCACCTCATTCATTTTATAAGAATGTTTAACTGAACATGTAGTAGGAAACAAAAAAGGAAATACTCATGGCAATATAATAAAAACACTTGATCTTAAACATGCATAATTATTTTACGTCTATAAAGCATGTCATCAAAAAAAATTAAAAGTTAAAAGTTATAATTTTTAAATATAAAAGTATGTTATTATTTTTCGGAACGGATTAAATGTGTCATACAAAATGAAATGAAGAGCATACATATTATAAGAAAAGAAATAGAGAATGAGTACTTTTCTGCCGGCAATGTATTTTTTCAATCAACCTAATGTGGAATATAATATGAAAAATGTTCTCGATATGTAGTACTTATAAGGACACATGACTATTAACATTTACTCCTGAACTAAACCAATTTTAATTTGTATTTTTCCTATTTTATCGAATCATCCTAAAGAAAGCCAAGAAATAATCATAAAATAATTAAAAAGATTCTTCCACATATTTTGAACAAGAAAGCCACACTTCAACAACTTTTGGTTTTAATTTATAAATGTAAAAATAAATAAGAAAAGAGACCATATTCCTTCGTGCATGATTCAGACATATTTAGAGTCAAAATCCGTGTTTCATGTCTATGCATCACCAAACATCATAGGCCATGCACTTTGAAATTTCTTGGAAGTACAAAGAAAGAGTGTGGCGGTGTGGATGTAATTTTTCTACTTTTTAACGATGTCTCAAATAAGTTCTAGAAATAGAAAAATTTCGGGTAATAAAATATCCCTTCCGTTTCAATTTATGTGAATTCATTTGATTGGGCACGGAGTTTAAGAAAATAGAGAATACTTTTAAACTTGTGGTGTAAAATGAGTCACATATATTTTGTGTGGCTATAAATCATTGCATAAAGGTAAATTGTTTTCAAATAGGGAAATAGATCATTCTTTTTGGCACGGAGTTAAAAGGAAATAGGTTCACATAAATGAAAAAGGAGGGAGTAATAGTTCCCTCTTTAATAAGCCTTGCACGACGAGAATGCAAATAAATTATTGGGCTAAAATAATCCAAAGATACTTTTATATATTGTGATATTGTCGTGAAAATAGTACGGGCTAGCCAGTTTTCGGACTGGTAATTGAAAAATAGCCAGCATTTGTCAAGTTATTGAAAAATAGCCACCATTTTGCTGCAACACGAAAAATTCCAACACATTATACTGGAGATTGATGCACCCGTGTCTGAACTTCCAGCATATTATGCTGGAACTCCAGCACACGAAAGTTCCAGCATAATATACTAGAGATTGGAGCACCTGTGTATGAACTTCCAGCATATTATGCTGGAACTCCAGCACACGAAAGTTCCAGCATAATATACTAGAGATTGGAGCACCTGTGTATGAACTTCCAGCATATTATGCTGGACCAATATATTATACTGGAACTTTAGTATATTATGCTGGAAGTCCAGTTTATTATACCGGAACTCCAGTATATTATGTTGGAATATTTTTCGGATTTTGAACAGTGTTTTCGTTCATATTTATCTTTACATAAAAAGTGGCTAAATTTTGACTACTTTTGAAACTGTGGTAATTTTTCAATTACCACTTGTAAATTTGGCTATTTTTTAATTTTCACCCGATATTGTCCGCATTCGCCCAAGCGCAAACGATTTTTCCCAAAAAGACTCACACCATTAAAAGTAGAGAAATTATAGTTATGTCACACCATAAGAAATTTAGTACAAAATTATCCAATTCATAAAATATTACCAATATTAGCTAAATTCTACAATTATTAGTCAATTACCTATTTGTAGCAACAACAAAAAAAGTTAATTTTTTGCTTGCTTTTGAGTGAGTGTTGTAGGAATAGATTGAGTACATCTTAAGAAGTTTGAATATCAATTTAGGGATGATTTGGTGGAGTTTTGATGTAGTGTGTATTGAAAATTCGAAGTAGAAGATGAACTTGAAAAAGATGATATGTGTATTACCACTACAGGAAAAACAGCTTCACCTGGTCGCGACCCGTCGTTGTAGGCTTCGCCGCTAAAGGTCTATAGCGACGGTCCTATGTACTGGTCCTTAAAGGGTTTCAGCGACCAACATTAATCCCTTCGCTAAACTATTTTTAAGGACCAGATTTCTGGTCTCCGATAAAAGAAAAATAATACCTTAATCATTCAGTATCTGGTCCTTAATTGATTTAGCTACCGGATTTTTATGGTCCCTATTCAGCATTCTAGAAAGAACTTGTGAACCAAGAATGAACAATGATGGGGAAAGAGAGTTCCCTTATTTCAAGGCTTGGGTAGATGTGAAGAAACCTTTTCGAGTGCCATTAATAATGACGGAATACCATACATTTGATATCAAGTTCCAAACAATATCAATCCAGATTTCAGAAAAACCAAACTTTCTCATTACCGCTGAAATGAAGGTCCAAGACATTGTGTCATAAGCTTTCTCCATGTCTATCTTTAAAACAATGTTTCCCCCTATTGTATTTATTAATACCTTAAATAATCTCTTGAGCCAAGAAGACATTTTCAGTAATAAGCCTGCCTTTCACAAAGCCACTTTGATTGCCAAATATAAGTTTGGGCAGAAGAGTGTTGAGTCTTTAGCCAAATTTTGCTAGAGAAGTTGCTTAAGCTAATGGGTCTCATTACAGAGAAAGTCTGTGGGGATTCAATTTTAGGGATAAGGGCCAGGCAAGTGTGAGAGAAATATTTGGAGAGTTTTTTCCCATTGAAGAAATCTTGGACAGACTCCACGACATCTTCTTTGATAATATTCCAACAGTTTTGATAGAAAGAACCATTAAAGCCATCCAGGCCACCAACACTATTTGAACTCATGTTGAAGATCGCATCCTTGATTTCCTCTTCTTCAGGTATAGCAGTGAGCATTTAATTTTTATGTTCAGTGATGGAGTTAGTAAGACATTCTAGAATGTCCAAATTTATCTCATGGTGAGGTAAATTGAACAACTTTTGATAATGATTGATAGCAGCCTTAGTGATCTTCTCCTCTGATGTAAACCAATTGCCTTGTCGTTCTTAATTCTGTGAATCTGCAATTTCCTTCTTCTTTCCCTAATAACACTATGAAAGTATTTAGTGTTACAATCTCCCTCCTCAAACCATTTTATTTGAGACTTTTGATTCAGTAGGGATTCTTGCATAGATAGCCATCTAACATATTCAACATGGCATTTGTTGTTGTCCTCTCTGCTCTGATCTGTATTCTGCATTATGTCTACTTCTTCCACAATTTGAGCTTCAAGTTTCCATTTAGCAACCTTATCATATACATTACCAATATCTTCTCTGGACCATATAGTCAATTTTCTGCTAAGACTCTTTAATTTCTGTTGTAATCTCCACATAGGATTACCATGTATTTGAGTATCCCAAACTTCCTTCACAATATGATGAAAACTAGGTTGTCGAGTCCAGAAATCTAAAGTAGCTAATACTGTGAACATTGTTATTGTTATTCTTCATCAACAATGGCCTATGATCAGATCCAGTTCTAGTCAAATGCCTGACAGTGTTGGTTTGTAAAGTTTGATCCATAGATCATTGATGAAAATTCTATCTATCTCTTCCACACCCTTTTACTTGGTCTCCAATTGTTGCACCATGTGTATTTCGGGCCTAGAAATCCCAGATCAATCAATTCACAATTCTCCATACAACTGATGAAATCAAAGATTTTGTATAATCTGTGAGGCGTACCACCTAATTTTTCATCTGGATCTATGATGATATTAAAATCCCCTTCAACACACCATGGACCATTAACCAAATGATATACATTTTCCAGACTACTCCATAGGTCTTTCCTCTCTTAGTTGTACATTTTGCATAAACCACAGAGAAGCACAGTTCGTTATCAATCATATCATGTTTGATTTGCAAAGTAATCTGTTGTTCTTCATTAGCAATGACCTTAGCTTGACAATTTTGTTTCCAAAAATACCAAATCTGTCCATTGATGTTCTCTTGACAGTGATGAAATCGCAGGAATCTCATGTAACCTTGAATCTTGCCTTTATTAGAGAAAGGTTCTATAATAGCTGCGAAATCTATTTTGTTGATAATACAAAGATTTTTGAGCCTGTGAATGGCTTTTTGTGATCTCACTCCTTTTATATTCCATATGATTGTATTAATCATGGAATAATATAGAAAAAGATCAATTTTGACTCCTTCCCCTTAAGGAAGGATTATTTTTGTTCTTGTCATTTTTTTTTCTATTTTCCTAGTTCTGCTTCTGCCTCTTTCTGTAGAAAATATTCCTTCTTTGTTGACTATCTCTCTCATGTGAGTGTGAGCTGGATCATCTGGTTGCATGTTGAATGTATGGTCACAACTTATTGACTAAACTGTAACATATTGATCATTGTTCCCATTATCCATGTCGGCAGATGATCATATTTTCTTTTTCTCTAATATGCCAGCCTCCAAATGAACCACAAGATTAATACCAGGGTGATTTTTAACTTCTGATGGCAGGCTACTAGAATCAGAAATAGTATCTCGTGCCTATTGGTTTTCATTATCAGCTTGTTTCCCCTTGTTAACACTCTTCGTGTCCTGGATTGCCTTATTTGTACTTGCCCCAATAGTGTTTTTGGTT